AAGAGGTTGAGAAGTTAGAGGGTTGATATGTTGTGGGGTTGTTAACCAATGTTATAAAACAACATGTGTACTTCTGTTTCATGAGAAACTATTTGTTCTGTAAGCCTTCACCTGAAGTACAATAAAATAAATAAATAAACAAAGTATGATGTTGCAACAGGCACAGAGTAGACATTTCCATTACAAATGGGAGAAATTGGAAGGAAAGAAGGGGTAACAGGCACCAAGCAAGTCAGCAGAACATACTACATTAGCTCTAAAGACTTGAAAATAATCCTCTGTTCTCTGAGACCATTTAGGCAATGACCCTGCCCTCTAGACTCTGGGCATTGGCCACACTCTGCATTTTGGGTGGTAGCCCCTCGGCCTTAGGCTTCATCTCCACCTTCCAGGCCCACTGGAAAGGCAGCTCTGCTCCCTTGACTTTGGGTAGCCACATTCTGCTAGTCATATGAGTGGCAACCCCACCCAGTCTGGACTGGGATGCCCTGTTTTTCTACTTCTCAGGTATGGCAGCCCCACCCCCTCAGCTTTGGCCAGTGGATCTGGCTTCATCCCACTGGCTCTCATGAAGGCATCCCCACACTCTGGAACCAAGTTGGTGAAGATCTGACTCTGAAACCTAGGAGGCTGTGGCCCCACTCTTTGAGATTGAGGCAGCTCTGCTTCCTGTGTTCCTTGTCTCTTCAGCTTCTGTTTCCTGGTTCCTTGGCCCCCTGGGCCAGCTCAGCCTCTTGCTTGCTCATACAAGTGTTCCAAAGCTCTTTATTAGCTCTACCAGTAAGTGCCTGGAGGCACCCTACTTCACCAATAAACCTTTGATGGAAGGCACTCAGCTCTCTTGCTCCATCGGTCCACAAGCCTAGCTCCACTGATAAGTTCCTACTGTACCAGGAAGCCTCCAGAGCAAAGGCACTCAGCCCTGTGACTCTCTGGGTTGGCTCCAGTGCTGTCTCGCTCTGGTCTCCTGGTTCTGTTGCTGCCATTTGTCTGCTGCTGCTTCTCACCATCTGCACTGTCTCCAGTGTAACAGCTCTCCTCACTTCCTTCTGAGTTCTCACCAGAATTGTGATATCCATAATTCTACCAACAGTCTCTTCAAGGCAATCTAGGCTTTTACTGTTAGGCACTTTAAAACTCTTCCAGCCTCTACCCATTACTGCTGTAACACATACCTACTCTCTTGGTACCAAATTCTGTCTTAGTTATGTAGTGCAGTTATCTAGTGTTGCTGTAACAGACATACCACAAGTGGATGGCTTTAACGGTCTAGGAGGCTAAAAGTCCGAATTCAGGCAGTTACTCAATTCCAAAACCGCCTGAATTCAGGGTGCCAGCTCCAGGGATTTTCTCTCTCTGTTTGTTCTGGGAGAAGGTCCTTGTCATCGATCTTCCCCTGGTCTAGGAGCTTCTCAGTGCAGGGACCCTGGGTCCAAAGGACACGCTCCTCTCCTGTTCCTTCATTCTTGGTGGCATGAGGTCTCCATCCTCTCTGCTCAATTCTTTCTTTTATATCTCAAAAGACATTGACTTGAGATACAGCCTAATGCTGTAATTGAGTTCTGCCTCATTAACATAACTACTTCTAATCCTGCCTCATTAACATCATAGTGGTTAGGATTTACAACACTTTGGATAATCACATAAGATCACAAAATGGTAGATAATCACACAATATTGGGAATCATGGCCTAGCCAAATTGACAAATACTGGGGGGACACAATTCAATTCATAATGGATGGGAACCTCCAAAGGTGTTAGCTGACTATCCAGATTGCTTCCAGTTTATCACTGATGGGGTCCAGATATTAGGAGTTTTATTTTTAATTTTTTTTTTTTTTTTTTTT